CAATCCAGAACTGCAGTGAGAACTTCTTCTCCTTTGAAACAAACTTTAGACTCTGCTCATTTAAATAGAAATTATTTTGGGTAAGGAGCCTATCTAATATATATGAAGACATATCAGAATACTCCCTCTGAACCATGAATACCTTCCCAGTCAGCAGTATAAATGTCATGGGTAATATTCAAGTACTTAGTAGGTGCCAATGCAGATTCAGACATAGTGTCCATCTTATTTAATCCTTACAACTTCATGAGATATTACTTTACAGATTAAATGGGTATCCCACTGTACAAAGAAACTGAGGTCACAGAAGTTAAGAATGTGTCCAAGATCACATAACTAGTAAGTGGCAGAACCAGCTTTCAAACCCAGGCAGTCTGACCCCAGAAAGTATACTCTTAACCAGTACTTAGTCACTATATAAGATCCTGAGGGCACAATGCATGTGTGTGTACACAAGGCAGAAGTTTGCTGAAGAAACAGAAATGGGGATATGAGAAAGAATTTTGGAACTGAAAATAATCAAATGAAATCCAGTGCCTTAATAATCATGATGTGAGTATTTATTGTTAAATGAAGCTTGAAGAAGAAAATAGGAATACTGAAACATCACATTAAAGCCACAAGTCCATTATTCACAATAATGGTTTCCATCTCATTTTAAATGCTAGTATCTATTTCCTTCACCATAACCATAAATGCTTACCAATAACACCAAATAAAGATAACACCAAATACATGATTTACCTTATATGAAGATGGAGGTTCTGCTCTAAGAGGAGTTTCTGGTAATTTTCCAGGTAAAGCGTCCTCATCTACAGTGGTTTCCACATTTCTGATAAGATACTGGCTGGTGGTCTGCAATGAACTCATACTTTCTACTGAGGAGGAAGAGCAAAGTTACCAAAATGCAAGGTGCATGTTGGTTTCTCTCCTACCAGTCCTAAGATAATAATCAATACCAACAACACTTAGGATACTCAGAACACATATTTCACCATGGGAGAAAAAAAGTAAACATAACTGATTGTTCACTGATTTAAATGCCAGAAGAGAGATACAAACTAAGACAGTTAAAAGGGACTACAGTAGTTATGATTCTGTCACAAAGAAACTCAAAACTTAAAAAGTTCTATGTTTCAGTGGAAAAAAGGAATACTTTTCCCCCAAACCTTTACAATATTCTTATTACATATTTTGGGATAAGTATCCAGAGTTAAGAGTGGATAATTATCATAGGTACACACATCCTGTTAGTAAGTAATTTAAGAATGAAATAAAAATATTTCTCTTTAAATTTTTCTTTTGGCCTAGGTAAGGGCATCAAAAAAATTGCTGGCACACTAAGAATGCTGTGAACCAAGTAAGTCTGGGAACCTCTGTCTGGAGTGAAAAATGCAGAACAAGAGTCTAGGTTGATAGACAATTATAATTATCTAGTATGCATTTACATCAATACATAGAATTTGGATAAAAGATGCCCACCCAGTTGACAATGACTAACAAGAATAAGAACTGAAGAACAGAGAAGTGAAGGGATGATTTTACTTAAAAGTTCTGTATTAACTCGTTGAGAAGAAAGTACAATACAATTGTCTGACTCACTCCAACTGTCACCGATAAAGTAGGTTACACACTTGGTTTTTAATTTTACATTGCTTCTTTTCCTGCAAAGGAGCCCATAGCAAATAAAACAACAGTAAGAGAAAACAAAAAAATTACAACACTGTCTTCTGTGCAGGTAAGCATTAAAAAGTTCAGAAAAAGTCCTGAGCTTCCTGGCAGCCAAAGGCAAAAGGAAGAAACTGATACATTAGAAGAATTTTAATTATCAGAAAGGAATGGGAATGACAATTCTTCAGGGGAAATCCAAACTAAAAGGTGAGAGGGGCATTAATATTTCTTTACTCTGCATGTGCTTTGCTTGCATTATGATTTTGACCTTTAACAATCCTTCAAGATAGGCATTTTCACTGTTACCGTGAAGAAATGGGAGTCTCAAAAACATCGTAACAAGCAAGTGGAAAAGCAAATGTTCACGTTAGGTCTTTTTT